CCTATTAAACATCAGATTAGTGATGTTGTAAGTAAAAATTAGAACCAACAGGAGGAACCACCAGAAAGAGGAAACAAAACTCAGAAGAGAAAAAAAATAGCAAATAGTATGCTTTGATCTGCATTCAAACTCCATAGTTCTTTCTTTGGATGTGGATGGCATTTTCCATCACAAGGCCTTTGGAAATGTCTTAGATCCTTGTATTGCTGGGAAGGGTTAAGTCTATCAATATTAGTCATTGCACAATGTGGCTGTTATTGAGTACAATGTTTGTCAGGTATGTTTTTGAGGAAATTTTTGTTCAGGTAGGGTTTGGATAAGATAGTCTCTAAGGTGGCTGTCATCTAGGAGAGGCCGGGATTCTGTAAAGTCACTTCCCCTTTGTTCCTCAACTCCCTAATCTGTAAAAGAAGAGGACTGTACTAGAGAGCTGAGGTGGCCCAGTAGATAGAGGTCTGGGCCTGGAGTCAGAAGACCTGAGTTCAAATAGTACTGTGGCTCTGGGCAAATCACTTAAGCTCAGTTTCCTCAACTGTAAAATGGGGATAATAGCAGCACATACTTCTCAGGGTTGTTCACAACAACACTCAGGATTGTTGTGAGGATCAAATGAGATAATACTTGTAGAGCTCATAGTGTAGTGCCTGGCACATAGTAAGTAGTTAATAAACGCTAATTCCATTTTATTCCCAGCTATAAATATATGATTCTAGTTTCCTATACAATCCTCCTTTTGTATCTGACTGTGTATTTGGAAATGCTTTTTTTGGGTGTTTTTCAGAATAAAAAAAACTAAAAATAAATAAATCAACATTCCTGAGCCTGGCCAAGTGGTACAGATGGAAGCCTGATAGCCTGTCACTGCGAGAGGGAGCAGAGGAGGCAGAAAATTGTTTTGCCCAGTGTGGATTTCAGGGAAACTTTCCCAGAGAGGAAGAAGAGGGAATGAAGCCGTCCAATATTCCAGCACTCTGAGGAGGACAGATTGCTGCTCAACCTGCTTTCCTTTCCTCCCTCTAATGGAGGAGGGAAGGAGAAACAAAGAGGGCTCCCCAGGCCTGACAGCAATAAAGAGTGTGGCCCTATGCGAGGTCTCCCCACCCTGGTTAAAAATTGTGGTTATATATATTTACATAACACATACAATACTAGATTATATATTATGTAAGTCACATATTATATGGTCAAGATATTTATAATGGCACTTTTTGTTATAGCAAAGAACTGGAAACAAAAGTAGATGCCCATCAATTAGGGAATGGCTCCACAAACTGTGGTACAAGGATGTAACAGAGTATTTTTGTTGTTGTTCAGTTGTTTCAGTCGTGCCCAATTCCTCGTGACCCCATTTGGGCTCTTCTTGGCAAAGATAATGGAGTGGTTTGCCATTTCCTTCTCCAGCTCATTTTACAGATGAGGAAACTGAGGTAAACAGGGTTAAGTGACTTGCCCAGGGTCATACAGCTAGCGTCTGAGGCTCTATGCACTGCAACACCTAGCTGCCCCACACAATGACTACAACAAAGTAAAAGTAAAGAACAACCACGAAACAATCAAAAGTAGATGTGGCAACATTACAAAGAACAAACGTCTCCAAAGCAACCCTTTGCACAGGTGGGAGGTCACGGGTGTTACATCCCAAGTATTTTAAAAGGGGCTTTTGTTTTTCTTGCTGAGTGGGGAAGGGGGTTAGGGGAGGGAAAGAAGACAAATCAAATCTCCTTTTGAAAAAAAAATTTTTTAAAGTTATTTGTTATATAGAATGGCTCCCTGTGACAGGGAGGAGGGATACTCGGGGGAAACGCGACCTACAAAAGATACCAATAAAATTTGTTTATAAAGTTTAAAAGCCATCCCTGACTCTTTGCATTTGGGGGATCCTCCCCTCCCCAGTTCCCCCCCCTCACCCCTAGTGTCTCTCGGGGCGCATGAATACCCTCCCACTTCCAATCTTCCAGGGCTAAGTAGAAAACAGAGCCCTGTCTCAGCAGTCAAAGTAGCCCCGCTCCTGCCTCTCCCACCTCCTACCTGTGAAACGAAGAGGTCGGTCTATGATTCCTCTGGGCTCCCTCCCATCTCTACATCGGCGATCCTCAGATCCTACCAATATGGCCTTGGCCATATTCTCCAATCATCTTCGAGGGCGTGCTAGGACGCTACTTCACCGGTACCTCCCCGAGAGGTTTATTGGCCGCAAGGAGCTCTGGGAATGGTAGTTTCACTGGCGGAAATTGCTCGATTCGGCGCAGGCGCGGCGGAACTCCGAGACCCGGGGCTAATCACACGCCTGCTCAGAGCGAGGGCGGAGGGAGGAGGCAGTCGAGAACAGCCAGCCACTAGCAACGCGCATGTGTCGAGGGGGAAGGTTGCCGCCCCCCACCCCCACATTGTGGCGAACTAAGGGGGCGGGCAGTGGGGGGAGCCAACGTGGGAGGCGCTTCCACCTTTCCGCCGCTCTTGGGGGGCTGTGTGAGACGGCAGCCTAGCAGCATCTAGCATGGCTGGGCGAGGGAAGCTGATCGCGGTGATTGGAGACGAGGACACCGTTACCGGTTTCCTGCTGGGTGGCATCGGAGAGCTCAACAAGCACCGCCACCCGAACTTCCTGGTGGTGGAGAAGGACACAACCATCAATGAAATCGAGGACACCTTCCGGTACGGTGGCCCGTGAGGCCCCTGTCGGGTTCTACCCCTGCGGGGGGTGGGGCGAGATGGGAGCGGGGCTGCCGGGGACCGGGGAGAGGGAGAAGACGAGTGGGGAGAGACTTTGCGTCAGCCACCGAGAAGCCTCTCCTTCCGAGTCAGAAGTGGTTTCGGTCCCTTCCTGCAAGTAGACCCCGAGCACCCCCAGGCTTGGACGCAGGGCCCCCCGAGCTCTGCAGGGGGTCAGTCACCCCATCATAGGACAGCGCTTCAGAGAAGAAAGGGGCCGGCGTCGTTCTGGGGTGACCGATAGCTCCTGCCCGTGGGGTTCCCCCTCTAGGCCAATGCAGGCCCCCCTTGCCCCCGCTGCATGTTTTCTAGGGACCCCCGGGACGCCCCTTTTAGTCGCGCTCTGCGAGGACAGGAACAGGGCTGTGCGCACAACACTCAGTCACATGCAGACAGTTCCAGGCCTCTGCCCTCTCTCCGGCCCTGACGTCTGTGAGCCATCCCCTGGTAATAATTCCTCCAACTTTCCGTTAGAGCTGGAGGAAACCTTAGAGGTCATCTAGGCCAGCCCTCTCTTTTTCCAGAGAAGCTAACTCGAGGCCCAAAAGGTTAGTTAATATGCTGAAGGTGACGCAGGCAGTAAGGGCCAGAACCAGGATCTGAGCTCCCAATTCCAGACCCTGGCCTCTCTTATCATGCTGCCTTTCCAATCCCAACGCCTTTGTTTTTTGAATGAGGAACCTGATTTAGATTGTACACTGGTTGTAGGCAGGCACTACTATCTTTTGCTTCTTTTTGTTATCGCCTGGGCTTAGTATTATAGAGCTTAATAAATGTTGACTGATCGATTTGAGGCCTAGGACACCAGTGTTAGTGACCAGCAGAGCCTGAGTTCAAACCCATGCTCTTTGACTCCAAATCTAGGAATCCTTTTGCATATAATTAGGGCCAGATTCCATATTATCCCATTGCTGAGAGGCCAGATAGTCTTGGATGACTCTCCTTCCTCAGATTTCCATTTTTTCTGATTGTTTTCCCCTCTGCAGTAACATCATAACTGTAAGGGGAGGTTACTGAACCTAGGTAGTATTGTGGTGACCAGTTTTACTTTCTTGTATCTCCTTTACCCCATTCCTTCTTCAGAGCCCATGTCTCTGTAGTAGTGCCTGTTTTTCCCCAAACAGCCAAGTCCCAGAGTTTCGGGCTCTGGCTAGTTCCTGCTGCTTGAGGCCTGCTAGGTCCAACTGTGCCTCACAGCGGTGGCCCTAGGGTGGGATTCTTGTGCCGTAAGAAACAGAATGTGAAATCCTTGGAGCAAAGCAACCATGTCCCTTTTCTAACTTGACCCCTTTTTATACCCATTATTTTTTTCAGTTGGTCCTAGACTCCTGGTTTCCAGGTCTGGTTTGGTTCTATTTCTGGGAGGCGGGGGGGGGGGGGGGGGGGGGGGG